TGAACCCTCAACCCTAAACCCTGAAGCCTCGCAAGCCCCTCCCGCCCTAAAGCGCGGAACCCAACGAGGCCAGCTGCCGAGATAAGCTTCCTCGTCCTTGCCGGTATCGTCGGTCTTCGACATGGTCACGACCTGGGCTTCCCTGAGGGTACGTGAGCTCATATAGTATAGACATCGGCCCCAAAGTACCTATATAGGGGCTACTTTAAGGCCAAAGTATATACTATTGGGGTAGCTATCAAGGCTAACAAACCAAACTTTGGGATATTGGGTAAGCTTTTGGATGCCAGGTGCAACGAAGACTCGTAACAAGCAGGATCTGGGGCAGTGAAGGGTATCAAATGTTGGGCTTGGGATGTTTAGGGGTTTAGGAGTTGAGGGGTTTAGGGTTTTAGGGTTTCGGGGTTTAGGGTTTCGGTGTTAAGGGTAAATTTAGGGGGTTAGGGTTTTAGGGTTTAGGGTTCTAGGGTTTCGGTGTTTAGGGGTTTAGGGGTTAGAGCTTTAACTCATTGAGCCCGACAACCGGTTTGAACATCCAAAACCCCATTCTTCGCCTAAGCCCACGTAATAACCCCTTAACTCTAAACCCTACACCCCTGACATTAAAAGTCCACGGTCGGTCGGAAGATGCTGAGGTCTATACATATTTGGACGTCTTGTTGTTCTTCTGCTTCTTGGCGGCCATCAGAAAGACCTGGTGAGGTCTGCTAGTAGGGTTGTAAGACTCAAAAACACTCCTCTGCATGCTTTTTGGTACCTAAAGAAGACCAGAATATCTGGGTGGTTGTCAAAATTATGGTCCCTTTTTGGGTCCTTATTGTAATACGGCACCTATTATTTAGGGTACCCCAAAAGGGACCATCATTTTGACAACTACCCATCTGAGTTCCTGCACCCTTAAGTAGGGCTTTGGGATTTCCGGGCATTACGGTCTGGGGGGGCGGGGGTAATGTGCCATAGTGCGCACATAGACAGCTTGGGCGTCGTCTGACGCCCAGATACGGTTGAGGGTTTAAGGTTAGCCGTGTTCAGGGGCTTCTGCGCCACACATGCATTTTTTTGGGCTCGTATTTGACCCAAACGCATAATTAACACACTGCAAAGGCATTTGGGTTCATTTGGGTTTCTAAACCGAGGTCAAGAGCTCCCTTGACTCTCAATCCTAAACCCCAGCGTTTAGGAAGGCGTGGATGGATTTCTCTTGTAGCTAAGGAAACTTCGTAAACTCCATGCCATAATCCCAGGATCACTGCCCAAAGCTGTTTCTTTACTGGCCCTAACCGACGATATAAGAAAGTACGGTTGATGATATATAAATCCTGCATTACCCAGAATAAGGAATCTACCACAATTCCCATAGTTTCGGGTCTTCAAGGTCATGCAGGATTTGCATCATCAACAGTAGGAGCTCTCTGGGGTCACCATATCTCCGGCATGCTAAACCCTAAAGCCTTAAACGCCCTAACCGACCTAAGCCCTGAACCCCTAGACCCTAAACTCTCAAGCCCTATAAACCGTAAACCCTCCGCACTAGACCCAGAGAGCCCAATACCCCTTAAATAAGGAATATACCTTGAATTATGGGGGCTTTAATATCATGATTTAAGGTATATTCCTTAATTAAGGGGTATTGGGCCTTAGTTGAAGGCGTATCGGGCTCTCTGGGGACTTTCTGGGCCGCGGGCACCACCATCTGTCTCCAAAATGTATTTCGGGAAGAGCTTGCTGAGGCCGCCTTTCTCTCCTCAGTCGGAGTTTAGGGGCCCGGGTTTAGGGTTTAGGGTTCCCAGAGACTCCAAAACCCCTTAGTTAAGGAATATACCTTAAATCATATTAGGGACCCTATTATAATTTAAGGTATATTCCTTAATTAAGGGGTTTTGGAGTCTCTAGGTTTAGGGTACTATATTCTTCAGTTCAAAGGAACCGCACTTGTAAGTGTGCAGGCTTCCATAGTAGGGTCCGTTGCATCGGTATCGGTCCTTCCTCTTACAGGAGAGTGACAGTTGAGCAAGACGCACCTCATCAACGGCAACCTTCATGTAGACCACTCCGCCAACATGGGTACCGTTCGGCGTGCACCCGCGAACAAACACCAGCCCAGATCACAGCACACAGCCTGGTTTTCTGCTCGGCAGGAAGCATTAACTTGGGCTTGCACCCTTAAACCCTTCGACCTGTGCCCCAGCCCTAAACCCGAAAGCCCTAATTAAACCCAGAACCTTAGTTTTGAAGTCCTGTCCTATGCCCATTCTTGCGCTTCGAAGTGAAACCAGCGAGAGCATAGACCTCTCCAGTCGAAAGGTGGGCTAGGCTAGGCAGTAGGACTGTCCATTGTCATGCTGGTCGGGCAGCAATGCCTGTGGTGATTTTCAGGGTATAGGGATGCAGCTGTCCCGTGGGATGCAAAGTGAAACTTCTGTACAGAATCGCAGGTGTGAGGCTTGGGTCTTGGGGGACCCTGTTGCGCAGACTTTGCTGCGTTCTGGGTGTTCTGCAGTCTCCAATATCGCACGAACTTCACCTTCCTGAATGATGTCGACGAGAACCAGATCAACCAGTTCTGGGTCACAGTGCAAAATTTACTGCAGAAATTACTGCAGAGCCCAGTGATGCCTCTCTCATCCCAGATGCACCCGGGACATTCCGCGATAATAGCCTGGACATGACGCGACATCCAGTTTTCAGTCTTCGGCACACACACCTTTTGTTGCTTTACTAGTATACGCGTAGCCAGGAACTTAAGGGAATCCTATGAACACGTCCTGGAAGGGCCAATTCTTCGCTTGAAGCTTCTGCACAAGTAGTTAGTCCGAATAAGTTAGTCCCATGTAGGGTTCCTATGCCCGAAACCACAAGCCCAGAGACTCCAAAACCCCTTAATTAAGGAATATACCTTAAATCATATTAGGGATCCTATTATAATTTAAGGTATATTCCTTAATTAAGGGTCTCTAGGAGACTATTAAAACTTAGTCGATAAGCGCTCCTTCCATGAACCCTCCTGAGGTGGCAACCATGTACATCAGACTGGGAGTAGCGTACAGACTTTTCCCCCGAGTTATGGACCTTCAATGCGATCACCAACCCTAGGCCTCTGGTTCCTGATCCCTACACCCTAAACCCCTAAAACCCTAAACTCCCAAACCCTTAAACCCCTAAACCCCTAAACCCCAAACCCTAAAGCCTGAACCCTTAAACCCTAAACCCCTAAACCCCTAAACCCCTAAACCCCTGAACCCCGAAACCCTAAACCCCTAAACCCTGAACACCTAAACCCCTAAACCCTAAACCCCAAAACCCCAAAACCCCAAAGACCTAAACTCTAAACCCCAAAACCCTAAACCCCTAAACCCTAAAGGCTCGAGGCACGGGTTCGGTTGACGCTTTGACAGATC